GATGGTCTCTGGTGTCAGAGGTGAAATTCCTGTATCCTGCGGTCGTCCACTGACTCCTGGCAGATGATGACCTTTGACCTTTTATTCCAGTGGATGCTGCGAATGATATTGGTCTCTTGAAAATGTCCAGTATTTGTAATATTTCTAATATTTATTAGAAGTTATGAAGTGATAAAACATGGAAACTGTGTTAGTTTGAAAAATGACATCTGAATCTGAAAAGTATTTATGCATAAGCCCACAAAAATAAACATTATTATTATATTATATAGTTATATATAACTATATCACAATATCACAACAATAACAATTCCATATTTTTACTATTGCTATAATTATCATTATAATTATGCTTTTATATTATCATATTATATGTAATATCATAATACTCTCTGACTTCTACATGGTATTGTATTATTATTGTGTAGCGTGTATATTACTGTATATATAGTTCACACATCATGGCTATCTTGACTCCTTTCGCTAAATAATTGCGCAATTCACTTACATAGTCTAAGGTATTGTAGTTTATATACTGTATGCTTTTAATTTAATTTTTTTTTTTAACAATTTCATTCACATATTTCTTTATCTGTTCTCTTACCTCTCAGCATGTCTCTGTGCTGCTGTGACAAGGGAATGTCCACAAAAAATATATTTTTTCTCATGTTATTCCACCATAGGAAACAATAAAAAGCCTTTACATTGTGTAATTATAATTTTAGATGAGAGAAATCCTGTTTATATTTGAGTTTATTCATAGGCTGCGGTCGAAAAGTCTTTTTTGCTTAGGAAGTTTCCCAACTGAGTGAAATGACCCGGATGTATCTGCGGTGGTCCAATTCTCTAAATGATAAGGAGAGGAGCTTCAGAGCTTCTTATCTTATCACCTTTAGCTTAGGAAACACTGGACCTTTCTTAACAAAAGGAAAAGAGAAAATGCCATCCCATAATTCCTTGGCACCAATACTTATAAAGAGACACAGGATTGTAGTTTCACCTCGGCAGACCCTCATTAATGAAGCCAAATCCATAAATATAGATCTCTTCTCTTTCAAATTTGTCCAGTTAGGAGTCATCATGAAAAACAAATATATTTAATTTCTACTTAACAATATAGTAATCAAAACAAAATACTATAATAATAATACTATAGCCCCTCCCATTGTGGAATGCATTAAAAATGAATTTTCTTTAATTAATAACTGTATGAAAACGTCAAAAGCGTCTATGCCAGGAAACTATGTACTTATGTATGAATATAATTTCTTCTGATCTCTTGCTCAGTTCCTTATTCATATTTAATTATAAAATTTTCCTTCTTCCTCCATTTGTCTATTCCTTTCATGTCATCTTATTTCAACATTTCAGTCCTGTCCCCTCTGTTTTTGTGGTTAGGAAAGGAGTATTTATTCTCCATGTGTTATAAATTAAGATAGTTTTTAAAAGATCTTAGTGTAGGTTTGTTTTCCTAAGTCCTGATGAATTCTCCTTCTCAACCTTCCTTGACCTCATGATGTTTTCCATTGAGGTCAAGGAAAAGTGGTTAAGCAATTAAATTATTTTGACTTTTCCACCACAGCCATAGACTGTAAATAAAGATGGACGTCTGCAGTTGCCATCTTGGCTGTACCTGACTCCACCTAACTCCCGCCTAATCCAGGAATGGGCAAAGAGGTGGGGCGTGTGTGGAGCGACATGTCGGTTAAATAACATGCCGACACTCCCGTTAGCATCGTTAGCACAGTTAGGTGTCTTGCTCGAAGGTTAACCCAAGGCTAATTCATTTGCTGGCTACTTAGCTAGTTAACAAGCTAAGCTAATAGGCTAGGTATGGTGAATGCAGACACTGATACCTGCTAATTAGTGCTAACGTATAAACGGAATTTCACTCACCTCTGAAGACAGACAGAAAACAGGAAGACAGACTTCCTCACGTTATTCCTCAGCGTATTATTTCTCCCCAACGTCACAAACATGGCCGACAGGTTACATTCACTAGTTCATGTTAGCTGCAGTGACCCCGAGCAGACAACTAATGGACTGAATACACCCACTTGTGGCCCAAAGAGGCCACGCCCACAATTATGCAAAACTTTAGTTTATAGTAAAATGTAAACAGGTGAGTTTATATATATGTATATATATATATATATATGTGCACACACACATAAGTTTGTAATAAGTGATAAAACAACTGTTTCCAGGATACGCATCACCTTTTTAGTCTGTCTTTTCATTGAATTTAATTTATTTATCTTTTTATTTATTTATATATTTTAAGCTGTTTTACTGGTATGTTTATTCTATGATTGTTTTCCTTTTAATACCCTACTTTTATTTCTGGTTATGTATTTTAATTCTACTTTTATTTCTGGCAAACATCTCTTTTAACATTTGATAATTTTATCTTCACCATTTTGTTTTCATTTTATCTTTAATATCCTACCTTTTATTTCTAGGTTTTACTCACTTAAATATACTGTATCTCCTCTGTTTTAGTTTTTTATTTTATCTTTATCACTCTGTTGTTATCTTTGCTTTTCCAGTCTTCATCGTTTCCTCAGTTTGTTATTTTTGTTTTATTTTTATTGTTATTTATTACTTGGTCATTTATTGTTCTGTGTATTAACGTATGTGTGTGTGTGTGTGTGAGGGGTTGTTTTTTTTTATTGCTTTTATTCTGTAAAGCAATTTGTGTTACATTGTTTGTATGAAAAGTGCTAAACAAATGAAGTATGATTGATTGATTGATTGATTAATTAACTTATATTAATATACTAATATAAAAAATTTAAAACTAGATTTTGACACTGGCATCCTCTGCATCTTAGGGAACTTGCCATTTAAATTTTTTTCTTGTGCTTTTGTAACAACTAATGAATGTAAATGTAAACGGGTTTAATGTGTTGGTCAGTATCAGTCAGTGCCTCAGTAATCATGTTGCTGAGATACAAATGGCCGCCAAAACACACTCTCTGTGCTCTGATCACAAAAGACAAGTGAAATACTCAACACGCATTCGAAATGTTTATTTACAGTAGGGGACATTCATGTACAAATCTGTTCCCATAGTAACAGCTTATTGTTTCATAGACACAAATTTACAGTACAGATCCAGTGGAAGTGTAGAGTGCTCACTGTCTACACGTACAAGTTTAAAATGATCTGTCTTTATTGCTTCAGAGAGAGCTGAACCGCGGGGGGTCAGTCCTCAGTGTGAGAGGAGTATGTGACATGGCTCTTTAAACAGTACGCACCTCTTAAAAACAACAACATCTGCATCATTAACACAGAATTAGAAAACTCCAAAATTCTGTCTCAGATATTTGCAATATTACACAGAAACACCTGAAATAAAAACAGCAAGAGTTAAAATAATCAAATATTATCTCCAAGCATGGCACCAAAAATACAAAATAAAAAAAAGAGAAGATACAAACAGGGTTGAGTTCGGAGCAGCTGGTTCTGTTCAGAGGAAAAGCAGCAAACACGAGGAAATGGACAGAAATCGACACAGATTTGGCTTCTGAATTCAAAAATCATGAAAAGAGTAAGAAAAGTGAGTTCCTCCTCACTGTTCTGAAGCAAGTGTGACAAACAGTCCCAACTGCAAATCACCTCAGTCATCAGTACACATGCACATATATGATGACTGGACCTGTATTTGTTTCTATATACACAGTTTTTACTGTGGAGAGTTTCCACCTGGCAAAGTGGAGCTCTCAGCGTCTCCTGCACCGTCACGACAGAGACAAGCTCTCCCTGTCGTCTGGTGTCAGTGGCAGGAGTTCGTTTGTTAGTTTCTTTAAACCCGACTTGTCTTTTTTTCTACTTTATTCTGTGACGTCTCGTTTCCCAGAATGCCCTCTGCCCCGTCATCAAAACATGATGGTTTAATTTCAGTGTTCCCCTGTGTTTTCACACAAGAGCCGGAGAATTAGGACTCAGACAATGGTTGCTAACAGTTCTCTCTCCTGATTGGCTGTCTGGTAATTTCTGGACTTGACTAGGTTTATTATGAGTGATGAAGGTTTAACATGAACACAACATCTAGTAGTTTCAAAGTTAGAACAGTGTTCATTGCACATTAAGTTTTCTGTCTTTACCTGGGCTTCTCTCACTGGTTTGAAGTGGGTGGAGCTCAGCTGGAAAAATGACAACACAGCCAATTACTGCCAATTTGCCCAGTGGTCGCTCACGGTATTGCAATGACAACAAATTCCCTGCAGCTCAAAAATGCATTTTCCCCACAGACCATCGCTGTAATAGAGATGTCTGTAAGCTGTTGACTATCTGTATATCATTTGTAAAACTTACCCTGAGCCCAGAAAAGTGATTCTTACTTGCACGTCATTCCTATGACGTAAAGTCTATGAGAAACAGTGTCTCCATTACACAGTTAATCTCACTGCTGACAAGTTCATTTTTACACTGTCAAATCTCCTGTTCAGTACATATCCTGGTCACAGTTATTTATTCTATTATCAAAGCTGTTTGTTTTTTTTTTAACTCTGTAAAAGCTGTTATCAGGCTTTGCCTAAAAATCCAGTATCAATCAGGCTCTTATTAGGAAAGAACTTTCCCCTCTTACACAAGACACAAAGTGTGTGTGAAGTGCTCGTATGTGGCTTTAAGCACTTCCTGTCTGAGGGATAACACTGAAACTGAAGCAACATGTTGCTCGGTGTGTTGGGTGGCTGTGCGCTCTGCTCTACTTTCTGCTCCTCTGGGTTTGTCCCTGGTTGAATCCACATGTCCAGACCACCCTGCACATGCAGACCCACAAGTCCAGAGACTTGTAGAGTCTGCTGCAGGTCTAGACCTCATCAGACTGTTCTGAATGTTACCTCCACATTTTAGCCCCATGGATGTGACATTAATATCAATATTAATATTTTAGCATAATTTAGATATATAGAACAAATATTTATTTATTGTTTATTTGAAACAATCTCACCATGAGGTCCATTTAGTAGCTGTTCTGGAGCTTTTGGTCATCAGCAGATGTTGTTGTTGCCCACTTGTCACTGAAGTACAGATCAAATTTTAATTGAATTTCCTTCCATGACAACTGGAGATCAAAGATTGTATCACATGATCAAAAGCTCCAGAACGACGACCAATTGGACCTTGTGGTGAGACAGTTCTGTCGACACCGTTTCCAGTGTCAAAGACGAACTTATGATCTTTTTTTAAATTCTTTATTTATAAATATATCTATGTATTGAGACTTTATATTGCACACAACTCGTAAATTTAAAACTTAAGACTTAAATCACATGTTAAGATTTTGGGAGTGATAACATCCAAGACATTTTACTCTAAACTGTCATGGAGCGTTTTCCTCTCAGATTTAAAGTCCCAGTCTGGAAGCTGGACATCTGGATTCAGCCTCTGTCCCTCTGCCTCTCTGTGATGGACTCCTCCCTCCATCAAAAAGACGACCTCACTCTTCAAAGCTCAATTTCCAAATTCACAGTAGCTCGTGGAAATGTCTCACACCTGTCGACATTTGGTCAGTTATTCAGGGGTAAAGAAAACTACAACAGCAAACCAAATGAAATACAAGTGACATAAATCTACTGTAGCTGCGTTGGGGTGTGGTGGGTGTCAAGCAAGGTGATGCATTATGGGAGAAATATGTAAGTGGGCTCTTAAAAAATGCACTTAAAGTCCAACTTCTTAAATGAAATCAGTTTGACTGTGCAACAGCATCTGATTACAAACGTACAGTATATATGGAGGGGAGTTTGAATAAGCAGGTTTACTTTTGTTACCGTGACAACACTAACTTTTCCTCTGCAGGAGGCTGGCGGTGCGTGTGGTGGGCGGGGTCAGTAGATGAACTCCCCAGGGACCTCCTGCAGGGCGCTGAAGGGCTCCTCGAACTTGAAGCGTTTGGAGATGGCCTTCTGCTCGGCGGCCAGAGCCTCTTTCTCCGAGGTGGAGGACTGGCGGCACTGACCCAGGGTGTAAGCGGCCATGACGATCAGCTCCTCCGTCACTGGGCGTTCCTCCTCCTCGGCTGCGGTCGTGCTGCTGGTGGTGCTGGACGCCTCCTGCTCCTCCACTGGGAGGATCTGCTCCACCGTCTGGGTTTCCTGAGACTCTGAGGACTGAAGCCAGGGGTGTTTGAGACACTGCTCCGCCGTGGCCCGGTCCCTGAACACACACACACACACACACACACACACACACACACATCAATACAGCGGTGTTGAACACATGGAAACTGAGGCCTGTGTGACGACCTCAGCGTCTGTGATGTCCACTAGGGGTCACCAAAGCTTCACTTAAGGTCCTGAGGCTTTTTTGATTTAAAGAATGTGAGAAAATAAATATTTGAAAATTATGTCTCTGTAAAAGAACAGCAATATTTAATTAAGAGGCAGAGAGTCAGTTCTCCAGCGCCTGTTTTACAATCATTAATACAGCAGCTCGTTAACGCACTTGTCATTATATCCACTGTCACAGCTCAGCTGCTCAAATTAACCAAATCAAAATCACAATATGGCTAAATCGCAATATCCAAATCACAGGAGCTGCAGTTATTTTGATGAAAGTAAAATGTGTCACATTGTTGTACGCTGTTAGCACCATCAGTGCTGTGGTGCCGCAGAGACGCTCCGACCTACAGATCACATTCTCCAGACGAAAAGGAACATGCTTGTTTGGTACAAGAGCAACAACAATCACATCAACATCATAAAATTTAAAATCAAATGTAAAAACAACCATTCCAACTGAAATCACAATATCTGCCAAAATAAACGCAACATGATTTGTTTGCATATCGTTCAGCTCCAGTCGAGATGGTAAATAATATTTCTATCTGCAGCTCAGCAGCAACTGCTCGTCCACATTATATTCATGAGACATGATCCTATATAAATGTATAACTATACAAATAAACATTTCATACTTGTTCTGTTTGACAACAGAATGAATCAGGTTTAGTGCCACATGAGTTTGTGTGTTGTGGACAGGTGTGGACAGGTGTGGACTGACTGTGGCTGTTTGCGCAGCAGCGTCTGGATGAAGGACAGGGCGGCCTGGTCCAGCTGCTGCAGCTCCTCCTCTGTGTAGCTCACACTGAGCTGGGAGATGTTAAGAAACGTCTCCTGCTTGTCTTCGCCCAGGAACGGAGAGATGCCCGTCAGCATCACGTAGGTCAAGACCCCGATACTCCTGAGCAGACAGGGTGAGAGCAGGATGACGTGGAAGGAAGGACAAAACCTTCATCACCAATAACAAATGCAGCTTTGAAATACAAAACAAAATTTTAATCAAATTCAATTTTAATTTTTTTATTATATTATTTCTAATTTATATCATTCTTGTTTTTATTGCTGAGTTGACCGGATTCTTGTCCGACACATTTGACAGTACCGTTAACCTTGTGTAAACCTACATATGACAAATAAAGTTGAACTTGAACCCGAATGGAAACAGGGTGTAAAAATGATCTTTGACAAAATAATGGATACAATTACAAATTCATGAAAACTAAAATAATAATAATAATGATATATAATAAGAGTTCAAATATGTGACATGAGGTTTTCATGAGTTAGACATTTGGCTGCGTTTTCTTCACAGTATTTGTGTGAATTGAAAATGTATGTTAAATCACTTTGAAGGGCAGAAGCAGCGACAGCTCTCCCTTCCTGACCTTCTCTTGCTGCTTCAGCTGCCACAGCTCAACTGGTTGAAATACTGGAAACAAATTAACTGGATATTTAATCACACTGGTCGGACTGGTCAGCTTTCAAACGTGTTTTCTTTAGTTTCTACGTAGGCTACTCTGCTTGGCTAATACCTCACCTCCTCAGGACGAGCTCGTTTCAGTCTTTGAAAATATTTTTTAAAAATTCATGTGGACTGATGGAGCAAACATTAAAGTAAAAGAATGAACATTAACATCATCCACTTGAACACAGTCAATACTGACTAAATAAATGGACTGCAGCCTGTTTATCGTCTTGTCAACTACTTAAGGCACTTTACACAAACTAGCAGCTAGCGGGCGGCTATGCTAACCGTCTTCTCTGTGAGGAAAATCCTTCCTCCTGCACATGATGATGTTTTGAGTGTACACAGAGGGGAGGGGCTATAAATGAGCTGGTTAAGAGATTCATGAGATATAAAGGCTTGTTTATGACTAAGATTTACAAATGATGTAGACACTAAAAACTGACAAAATGGATAATATATTTTTTAAATTATGGATATGGTGAGCGGTTTGCATCCTCTTCTAAACTTCCTTCTCTTTTCTACCTTGTCTGTGTCATTCATGGTCATTACAAGGTTAAAGCCACATAAGGATTTGTCATCATCGTTTTTCAGTGATTGTTTTTCCCAACAACATTGTTATTCTTTTAATATTCTATCATATAAATCAATATCTATCATTGTGAGTTTACAGACAATCACAGTGTTGTTCTAATTAGTTATTATCGGTGTAAAAATGAGACAGCGGCAGTTAAAGGTGGTGTTGTGTGTGTGGTCCGTGTGTTGTCACAGTGATAAAACCACTAGGGGGAGGCAAAGCTGGAAACAGCTAATCCTACACACAGTAAGTTTCAGAGACAGAAACTGAGCAGACCTCAGTGAAACATCTGTATACAGCTGTGACTGTAACAGTAAATAAAGTTTAGAGTTCAATGACAGTTTAACCCTGTGACACTGCTGAGACTTAACAAAACAATGTTTCTCCTGAAGTTTAACTCCACAGAACAAAAAGAAAGTTTCTTACCACATGTCTGTCGCTGTGCTGATCGGCTCATAATTTAGAATCTCGGGAGCTGAAACCATGAACACAAACACGTCAGTATCATTTAATCAGTGTTTAATCAGTTCGTCCGTTACTGTGAGGTTGTGGACGTGACGCTGAGCAGCAACTCACCAACATACTCCGGGGTTCCCATGATCTCCCTGAGCTCCTGGTGGCTGCAGACCATCCTGGACAGACCGAAGTCCACGATCTTAATGTCCCCCAGAGGAGAGCAGCTGGTCAGCAGGATGTTCTGAGGCTGGCAAGACATCAGAGGACACGATACTGTCACACACACGTCTGATATCTAATCTAATCTATAATTTATACCACCTGATCTTCTCTCCTTCATGGACAGAGCATCAGTGTCTTTCATGTTTGACCAGTTTCATAAAGGTTTATATTCTGGTACAGTTTTATAGGATTATAGGCTGTTCTCATGTTTATTTTTATTCAGTAGAACTGAACTTTATTCTGTCTCAGCAGGATATGTTAAAATACTACAAATGGATGTGTACAAAGCTTTTCATATTTTCAGAATCATTTGATTGTAGTGTCTGTTCTTTTCGACCGGAGCTGAAGCTTTTTGGTCTGTTGCTGTAATTCCTGAACTAAAGGATCAAATGTGAAGTGCTGCATTTGAGTTAAGTAGGTGTTAATGACTGTCTTGTTCACTTTATCTCAGAGTATTAAGGATTTGCTGAAAAGTACAACTAATGATTATTTTCATAATATCTCAATGAAACTTAAAAAATGCCCATCATAATTTCCTAGAGCTCAAGGTTACATAATCAAATGAATCACTTGACTAATTGTTGCAGCTGTAGCTGTGAAACTGCTAATTTGATGAATGGACTGGTGGATGAGATGTGAGGAGGTGGACGGTGTGTTCTGTGGATTATCCAGAGTAACTGTTCCTGAAAACAGATGCTGCTGTTGAAACTAAACTCCACTCCGAAACCTCGACGATCTGTCTCATTAGAAAACCTGGACAAATACTGGAGATGCTCATTTTGATGTTTTATGTTTTGGTGTTTAGCTGATATCACATTTGCTGTTTCTACTATAATGTTTATTACGACATGTTCAGTTTTAAGAGTGAAGAGCTGCTGACACACAGCGGATTGTTCAGTCATGAAATAACAAGTGTACAGGTGATTCATCTGTGGCTTTTACAGGCTTTAGCTGCTCTTTCCAAAGCCTGAAATGTTGAACTCTTCACGTCACAGTGACGTCGTTTTCCCAGAGAATGAAGCAGGTTTTATCTGAACTGACTGGTTCACTTCACAGATGGATCTGAACGGACTGTAACTGAAATACAAAGAATCGTGTGGAGGTATCTCTGCTGACCTTCAGGTCCAGGTGGACTATGTTGTTCTGGTGGAGGAAGGAGACTCCCTCTAGGATCTGCCTCATGAGCCTCTTCACGTCCTCCTCGCTGAAGGCCTCGTCCTCCCGATCTGCCACGCACTGGTTGAAGATCTCGCCTCCGGCCGCACTGCACAAACAAACAAACAAACAAACAAACAAACCATGTTCACTGAAAGAAGTCAACAGCCCTCCCTGTTTGTAATAGACTTTTTATTTCTTTTCCAAACAATAAAAAAGCAGTAAAAAAACAGTAACATCACACAGAAAGACATAAACAGAAGAGATAAACATCATTTTAATAAAAACAATCAAAAATCAGAACACCGAAGACAAAGAAGGAAAGAAATGTAGATAATGAAAATATATAAATCTATATATCCACAGGGCAACACTGGTTTCATATTGTATTCATTTATGGGCCCCATGTTTTCCTGAATACTTCCAGCCTGTAATTTAAACATTAATTATTCATATTTTGGTCATTTCTCCCGACCACTCGTTGAAGGGGAAGATATTTGTTGTTGAGCCTGAGCTCGATCCTACAACCTGTGGTCAGAGCCGGTCGGGAACAGCCCTCCGTGTTTAAATAAAGGCGAAGAAGAAGAAATTCTTCAGTGTAAAAGCATCAGAGATGAGCATCCGTCTACAGGATCACTCTTTGTACACTGTCAGGGAGGCTACAGCCTGAACAGGTCTCATACACAGTGTCAAACCCAAACCACAGTCGGATCCCTGCTTCATCATGAAACTTGTTCTACGTCGTTCACGGCTTTTTATGGCGAATCCCAGAAGACGCCGTGGAAATAAATCTCCGTCTAACCCCGATGTACGAGTGTGTGTGAATGTGTGTGTGTGTGTTGACTGGCTGCGGGTGATGGCAGAAATAGACCTCCAGATATAGCAAAGCAATTATGAGCGCCTCTTGAACGAGGCCAATGAACAGTTGACTGATCACTTCTCTCTGACATGAGGAAACAGACAGAGGTTGTAAAATAAAGAGCAAAATAAAAACTGTCTCAAACTATTGTCGACACTAAAGCTCCCGCCCTGCTTCGAGCACCATGAACGTCCTCTGACCTGAGGTAACCTCTGTCGGACAAACTCAATTAGAAACTGAGAAAGAAAAGGAGGCAGGGCAGTCAGGAATAGACGAGGTGTTCCCTCAGGGTGCTGCTGAATTAGGCTTTATCTCAGAGGAAGGTGGAGACGGCAGGAAGAGGAGGGGTGGGTGAGAATGTTTGGGGTTTTCAAGGTGAGAAGAAAGAGCCTTTAACCGGAGTACGGGCGACAAAAACAGTCTGGACGGCCGAACTAATGAAAGTCAAACAGCTCCTCACAGAGGTGCTGCTCAGGTCCTGGTCCTGGTCAACAGGAAGTTCTTCAAGGTCAATCCTGGTTCATCGTTTCAGACACTGACCTCTGACCTCTGACGCTTTTACCTCTGGATCTGTTATTTGTTCTTTTCGTAGTTTAAACTTCTTTCACTTTTACTCTGGGGCAAGATGCACAAAGTCTCTTAAGTTAAGATTTTCTTTAAAGTCCAATTTAAGATTTCCCTAAAATAAAAACTTTTGCACAGAATACCCTGTCTTTCCTTAAAATGTTCCCTTAAGTATTTAAAGTTTTCTCCTTATACTTATGAAATCACTTAAAGTCAGTTAAGACGTTGCACAAAAGACCTTTGCATCCAAAATAAGGAAAAAACTTTGTACTAATTGTATCTGAACTCAACATGTCTGAGTTTATGTTGATAAATGAAGAGGACGAACATCCCAACAAGAGTTTGAAACTCATCATCAATGAGAGGAATTGATTTGCTCCATAGATTTGATCGGCATCAGTTTCTGATCTGATCTGATGGCTCCACCTCCTCAGCTCTCTTCAGGTTAACTCTACAGTCAATGATGCTCTGTGTTTTATGCTACGGGATCTTTTTAATCAATTATTGATGAAGTATGTCATGTCCATTGATCCGAGTGTGAGACGCTTTGACCGTTTTCATTAAAGTTTCCATTAAATGGATGAAATGGCGACGCACTTCTTTAATGTCATTTTTTAAGACATTCTTTTTTCTTCTGGTCAACTTTGTGAGACGATACAGGTGAGATGTTCACAGGTCTCACAGGCGCTAATGCTGGCAAACAAACGGTCTCCATGGAAACTGTAGAATTTTACTGCAGTAAAATCTCATTCATTGCTGCAAATGCCTTAATGTTTTTCCTTAACAGAGGAAACCTTTTAAGTGATTCTTTGCAACAACCTTCAGTAACTCCCTCAGCTGAGGAGAAATTCAACCTCAAGTGTCAGACGTCAGTGGAAAACTTAAAGTGTTCTGTCCAAGCCGACACCTTGATACTTGGACAAGGGAGAGGAAGAGGAGGGAGGAGAGAGAAGATGAAGATATAGAGAGAAGCAGGCAAACAGGTTAAATGTGGTTTTAAATAAAGATGGAAGTCGTTGCTCTGGACTGCACAACATTGTTAGAGTTTCCATGGCAACTGCTGGACCTCAGTTAAACGTGTGCTCTAGTTATGGCACTGCATGCATGTCTGCTGGGGGTAAGTTTCCATTTAACACAGTTCAGACTCATTTAAACATGTTATTAAACTGAATTTTTTAAAGTAGACCTGTTTGACACACTGATAGAGTTCAGTGCTCTGCGACAGTTAAAAGGTTCATTCACCTGATTCACACAAAAAAAAGTTTGTCTAAAGAATCAGGTTCCTCTGAAACCTCTCAGGTAAGAATTTAGTTTGTGGCACTACAAGCATAAGGAAATCACATTAACTATAAATTGTTCAAATGGTTGTGAAATTTTCTCAAATAAAACTTTGCCTTCCTGTTGCTATGAAACCACCACAATAATTTTTATTAAATAACCAACGGTACAGACGGTTTGTGAGAACTCTCTCTTTTATTACTTTTTTATTTTTGTGCTTCTCACTTGTGGTTGAGAAAAACAGATGTGTGTTTGCAGGCAGCTTAATGCTAAAGTATAAATTGTCTTGAATCAAGCTATAACCATTTAACCAGTCTTTACACACAAATACACACACACTTTGTTAAGGCGTTGGCGTGTGTGGATTGGCTGCTTTAATGAGAAACAGTGAGTGTGTGATGAGAAACCAGAGAGCTGAAGAGGAGGAGAATCATGATGAATAATTAGGTCAACTGAAGGAACGTGTGTGTGTGTGAAATGATTGGTTTCTAATCTGTGTCACCGTTGCACACACACACACACACACACACACACACACACACACACACACACACACACACACACACACACACACACACACACACACACACACACACACACACACACACCTGGTTTCGGCACGTGCATTAAACTAATGGAATCTCGGTTCATTCCTCAGAGGATCAGACAGAAACTAATCCAGTCTGGCAAACAGGAAACAACAACTTCAGACGTCCTCATGTATCTGATGTGGAGGTTCCCACACACACAGGAGCTTTTACCCGATGACTCATCAGATTACACTCATATCTGAGTAAATTGGCCTTTTGTTGAAAACGGGATCTATGTCTGTTTTAACACAGGGTCAGTGATGTGTTTAGAGCCTGTAATGAAACCTGCGTCATCTTCAAACAGCTGCAGCATCTGTTGATAATAATGATTTTGCTTTGACCAAGAAAGTGTTTCATGTTGCCTTTTAAAGTTTTCTGTCAGAGTTCTGGAAACTACCGGAGACCATCTCGTAAAGGGATCACAGCAGCCGCAACGCCCGCCAACATGTTGATGTTCTCAGGACTCATGGGTCGGACCACACCCATCCTCGTACTATGAGTTCAAGTTGGTCTCAACCACACACCTGTAAAGTTTCACGGTATCTTGGAGGTTGTGACGTCATTGTGACCGACATTTTAATTTTAATGATAATAAGACACGGCCGATTCAATAGCATTTGATTTTCAAAAACAACTCGGACTGTGAATGATGGCGTGGAGAGGGAAGATGAACGGAGACAGATCATGTGTCACTTTTCATGTAAACACAACATGAAGCAGATGAATGAATTATTTTTTCCTGCAGTGACAACACAGGTAAAACACAGCGACCTTTTACCTAAACTGGCAAATATGAACAACGAATTTAACTGAATTAGGAAATTACAGTTAAAATATGAACAAATTACACGACAACATATTAAACTGAACTTGTTTGTTTGTTTATTGTAGTCTCAACTCTTCCTCCCTGGATCTAAAGTGACTTCTCATCAGCATGAACTTCAGACAGAGTTTTGAACATTTCTCACAGGGACGTGCTCAGAAGTCTGACGGACTCCCTGAACGGGGGATTTCACGATCCTGCAAGCGCTCGCTTCACCGAGAGGAAGTCATGCAGCATGTGCTCCCTCTGCACCGAGGACACAGCTGCTCCTCCAGGCCGCTCCAAGGCCATCTCCGAGGGGAAGTTAGTTACCTGCACGATGTCTGTGCGCAAAATGTAAAAAGGTCTGTGCGTCTGCCTGCACGAGCGTGATGTCACAGACGCTGCCGTCTAACTCTGCTCTAATCTGTCAACACGAAGAAAAGACGAGGAAACTCAGCTCATCAACAAATCAACCTTCTAAATAAATAAATAAAAATTCAATTATTTAATGTTTATCTTGGATGAAGACCTCAGTGACCGAGGAGCCTCACTAAACGGGTCATCCACAACAGAAACAGACACACACTAGAAAAACACCTCCATTGATATGATCCCAGACAAAGGCAGGTTGGCATGCTGCCTGTGTGTTGCCCCAGAAGCCTGATGGTGGGGGGGTCAGTCAGGTTCAGGCAGGCCAGAGGGCAGTCAGTCAGCGCTTGATTGGTGAGTTGCTATTGTAATTAATGAAATCAGTGTCAGCTCAGTGCTGTGGGAATGGATCAATTCAGCTTTGATCAGCCGCCCATTTGGACTCTGATGATTTAGTAGAAGAATGACATGAACTCAGTCAGCTGACCTAAATAACCGGCTTCATAAACATAAACATAAACACCCACTAAACAACAAGGGGGAGGGGGGGGGGGGTGAAGGGTCTATACATCTGTATCTGTAGGAGGCTCTGAACTGATATATAAAGTATATATAAATATAAAACACCAGATAATCCTCCATGA